CTTTCTTTCTTTCTTTCTTTCTTTCTTTCTTTCTTTCTTTCTTTCTTCCTTCCTTTCTTTTGTTCTTTCTTTCTTTCTTTTTTCTTCTTCCTTCCTTCTTTCCTCTTTTTCTTGTTCCCTTCCCTTTCTTTCCTTCATTTTATTTTTTTTTTTTTGGGTAGAGATTGAGGTTGGTAATGGAGATAGTATTTGTGATTAAACTGAACCAAGAAAAAGAGGAGAAAGGTTTAATGTATGGTAGTAATTGTTAGGGACTGTAATATTAGGAAATGGGTGGAGTAACCCAACTGGTATTCATCAAGATTAGATAGATTAAACTTCCCAAATTATTTCAGCCAATTGGAGTTCAGCATAAAAGCAGTTGCTTAATATTTTGTCAAAAATGAATTGACTCGAGGCAGCTAGGTGGCGCAGTGGATAGAGTGCCAGCCCTGGAGTCAGGAGGACCTGAGGTCAAATTTGGCCTCACACACATACTCACTAGCTGTGTGACCCTGGGTAAGTCACTTAACCCCAGTTGCCTTGCAAAAATAAAATGAATTGACTGGTGCTCTTGGTCTAGTGGAGGAGTGGGAAACCTGCAGCCTTGAGGCCACATGTGGCCTTCTAGTTCCTTGAGTACAACCTTTTGACTGAGTCCAAGTTTTACAGAACATATCCTTTTATTAAGGAGATTTGTTCTATAAAGTTTAGATTTAGTCAAAGGGCCACACTTAAGGACCTAGAGGGCCACATGTGGCCTTGAGGCCACAGGTTCCCCACCCTGGTCTAGTACCTTGTTACACCTATGTTATAAAAGCATCACTAGGGTTGGCTGGCAGATATTAGTAGAAACTAAGCATTAACTTTCTGAGATGATGATGATGCAGTGAGAGATTGCAGAGGAGCCAGGCTCTTCATTCCCCTCTCAAAAATAACAAACATAGAAGAGACAAACAGTAGCCAAAAATAAACATAAGAATATTAAAAATTTGTTGTTGTTTTTAAGTCATTTCACTTGTGTCTGATTCTTCATGCCCCTGCTTGGGGTTTTCATGGTAAAGATACTGAAGTAGTTTGCCATTTCTTTTTCCAGCTCATTTTGCAGATGAGGAAACTGAGGCAAACAGGGATAAGTGACTTGCTCAGGGTCATACAGCTAGTGTCTGAGGTTGGATTTGAACTTAGGTCTTTCTGACTCCAAGCCTGGCTGTTCTACCCATTGGGCCACCTAGCTGCCTATTAAAACCTACTAAAAAAGAAAATAAGGCAAAGAAAAGGTCAGATACAATAAAACAAAAATCCTATGGAATATGTGAAACATAGGCGAAAGTACGTGCAAAGAAAAATGGTGTAAGGTGTCTTGAGATGTCCTGAAATAGATAAATGACACATTAAAAAAAATAAGAATAATTAACACTGACAAAAATATCCTAAGAGGAAATAAAGGATAAACTTAAAATTATTAGGAAAAATTAAATATATGCAATTAAAAGATATTAAGAAATATTAGGAAAAAATAATAGGGAAAATGACAAATATGAAGATTACAATATTAGATCTGAAAATATAAAAAATCAATAGCAGAGTTGTTGAGCAAGTGAAAAAACAAGATTAGAAAATAACACATAGAGAGTTTAAAACCACCTGCAACCGAAAGACAGATCTGGTGTTATTTCAGAGTATTTAGAAGAATCTGGGCACTCTGTTAGGATAAATTATTCAAGAACAGTTACCAAAACTTTTTTTTTTAATGCCAACAGTTTACAAGTAGCAAAAAACCAAAAACTTACAGAGTGGCTAACATTTTTATTTTGGGCTTGCAAAATATATTCTATAAATTCTTTTTTTATTGTTATAAGAGACCTGTAAAAGCTTTCAGGAATTTACAGATTAGGAAACTCAGCATCAGAGAAGTTAAGTGACTTGCCCATGGTCACAAGTGTAAGATTCTAGATTTGAATGTAGGTCTTCCTCATTCCAAGTCCAGCACTCTTTCCATTTTATCAGGCCTGCACAACTTGCAACCCGCAGGTGCTTATGGAGTGCTGCTTGTAGCACACCAAAGAATTTCTGGCGGGCCTTCGAAAAATGCAGAGGAAAACATCCTGTGTATGTAAGGGAAAGGTGCTCAAGGGCCACCCATAAGTTGCCTGAAGACAGCAAGTTGTGCAGGCCAGTGTTATACCATACAAGTATTATAACTGTACAAGCGTTGTAAATGCAAGGTATTCAACAACAATTCGGCAGTAATTTAGTAAGCCCCTGTTAGATAAGATAAGTTTAGATAAAATATAGGTGCTGGCCTCATTGCTCCTATGGTATGGTAGAGGGATGACACACTTCCATAGATGTGAGCATTTCTTACACCAATTCAGGTTGTAACTTGGTCATGCCTTTTTGCCTAAGTTATTACATACATCCTTCATTTGCAGTTTATAGTATTTCTTGAATATCAATGCAACATTCCGAGTGTTCTATTACCCTTCACTCTAGCAAAAAGATCAAGCTGTATCCTTTTTTAAAAATCATATGTGTCCTTTGTCTTTTATGCAACTTTTCGTTCACTAAATCATTATTGGAAATCTGTTGTGGTGTAGTTACAGCCTCTGTTTTTCCTGTTCTCTTGGAGTTATCTAAAATTTTCATTCTAAGATTCTGGCATTCTATGATTCTCAGTCACATAGCATTACTGGAATAATATTGCTTTTTTAAGCTATGGGCTTTTGTGGCAGGGAATAGGTTGGGATCTTAAAAAATGCTGTATAATTTCCTAAGTGCAGGGTACTTCATTATCTTCCCATTCAATTGAGAACCCAGCTCATCATTCATCTGCAGTGGTTATCCAGGATATGTTTACTGGTTGGATTAACTCAATGAGCTACCATGTTACAATCTAGACAATAGCTTGTTTTCCTCTATGTGATTTTTCCTGTGTGTCTTCCTAGTCCAATCTCTTTTTTGAGTGGTCATTGATCTAATTGAGACCTAATTGACCTAATATATACTTCAAATCACTAATAAGAGAAGTAAAAATCGAAACAACCGAGTGTTCACTTCACAATCAGCAAATTGGCAAATGTTACAAATAATGAGAATAGTCAGAATTGGTAAGACTGATAGAGATTGATAGACACGCAAACACAGCTGTAAATTGGCCCAACCATTTTGGAAAGCAATTTGGATTAATGATAAGAAAATGAATAAAATGACGTGTGACTCAGAGATTCTTATGTCTAGGTATATGTACAGAGGAAGTAAAAGAGAAAAAAATGGTCCCATAATATACTCATTATTCATAGCAGCCCTTTTTGCTCTGGTAACAGAGAATCAGGAAAAAAGTAAAGATCCTTCATTGGGAATGGCTAACCAAATTATAGTACAGGGATATATTGGACTGTTGTTGTACGGTAAGAATGAGAGAGATGCAGCATTCCTAGAAGAAAAGTAAGAACCAAGAAAACATATGGACTGACTACACTATAAAATATTGTACAAAATAGGGAAACTAAGCAGCAGTGGAAATGAAAAGAACCAAAAACAATATGCAGATACATGATGACTTCAACAATATATATGGAACAAACCAAAAACAAAAAAACCAAAGCCCTGTAGTTATAATGGCCAAACTTGGCCCTGAAGAAGAATTTTGAAAGAATGCACATCCTCCTTGTAGAACTGGGGGATCGTTTGTATGGAACATTGTATAATATTGTGAGAGTTGATGAGTTTTGCTAAGTTACTTTTTTTCTTTTACATTTTTTATGCTTTTTGGGTGGAAAATATGTGGGGGATATATTTGGAAGTGAAGGCGATAGAAAAACCAAATGTAAAAAAAAAAAGAAAAAAATGTTTTAAAAACTTTTTTTTAAAAGGAGAGAAGCAAAAGTCTTATAATATTCAAGGACAATGGTTCCCAGTGTGTTTTGTCCTTGAACCTTGTTTAGCAACAACAAAAAAGTGTTGTGAACTCCCAGAGTAATTTAAGGTTCCCAGTGTGTTTTGTCCTTGAACCTTGTTTAGCAACAACAAAAAAGTGTTGTGAACTCCCAGAGTAATTTAATATAGTACTCATGATATTTTTTTAGATTCATTCATTAAGTGCTTACAGTGATTACTACAGTGATCGCTTTTGTTAAATACTGCTCCAAATTAAAACTTGTATTCCGTAATTATAGTTATTAAATATAAAACTTACCCAGTTGATGAAAATGAATATGTAGTCATGATATAAAATATTTACTTTTCTGTTGGCTAATTACAAGTGCTGCATTAAATGTTAAATATATGTAAAATTCAATTGCATTTATTGCTTTATTTTTAATAATATTTATATAAAAACTAACCTTTATAAGGAAAGAATTTCTTCTAATATGACTGTCTTCCCTTCTACCACTGAAAATCAGCTACACTCTCACAGATACTCTACTGACCTGTGTTATAAAAAGTTTATTTGAAAATTTGCTAGATGGAAGAATAGTAACATAAACAGAGGTTAAGTTTAAATCAAAAAACAGCCTTAATTTTGCAATGAGAAGCAACATGGGTTTTTTTTTTTTTTTTTTTTACAGAACATTTGTGGTGGTTCACGATGGTTTCAAGATGGCTTGTAATGTGCATGCCCAGAAATTCTGATTTTCAAGCAGCATGATATTCGCTCTGAAAGACTGCACATATTCTTAACATCTTGATCACTTGATTACGCAGATGATGAGGTATGATTACAGGGTAACAGAGGAGAATGAGGGAGCTACTCCAGTGTAGGTTACATAATGCAAATGAGGGTATATGTGTCTGACAATCCGTTGGGAATCAGTTTGCATTCAGATGTTGAACCCTTGTGGCAGTTTGGAAACAATTTGATGACAGGATGAGAAACTGCTAGAACATGTTGTATTTAGTCAGAAGTGGTCGAGATTTGATATAATTGCTTCACAGGCACTAAAAGTGTTGTGCATTAAGATCAGGATAATTTTGAATCAATGCAGGAAGAAACTTATGATGCTTTAAAACCCGTACTTGCTTGTTGTCACAGAGGAAAAGTATATCTGTTTATCTAACTTAATTGATTCTCATGCTAAGCTTTCTACAGGCTCATTTTCCCTTCCACTGATGTGTGTGGGGTGTATGTGTGTGTGTGTGTGTGTGTTAGTGAGGTAATATTACTTCTGTAATATTTCACCTTTATTCTCTGAAATATTTTGTAAATGATCTTGTATTCTAGGCCTATATTACCCTTGGAAAGATGGAAATTCAATTAAAAAAAAGATTTTTTTTAAAAGCATTTGATAAAACTAGATCTGAACAAATTATTTGCTTCTTAATCACCCCAGATAAAAGAAATAGAAGAAATACATTGATCTCAAAGGCAGGCTAGGTAGAGACAGTTTAAAGATTATAGGTGTCCTAGAAGAATGTGACAAATAAAAAAACCTGATCACCGTAATGCAAAAAATAATACAAGAAAACTGTTGAGAACTTTTGAACACAAAACAAAGTGTAAATAAAAAGAATCCACAGATAGCCTTTAGAAACAACCCCTATGCTGCAAACTCCCAGCTGCATAGTGGTTAAATTTAACTGTTCCAATAACACCAAATTCTATAAACAACCAGAAGAAAGATCTTCAAATATAAAGGAAAAGAAAATTTAAATGACAACACTATTTTGCAACCACAAGAAACCACAGGAGAGAATGGAATAATATGTTCTAATGAATAAAGGAACTTAAGATGTAGCCCAACTTACAAACTTGAGCCTAACTATTAATGAAAAAAGATGGAAATTCACTAAAAAATATTTTTTAAAGCGCTTGATAAAACTAGACCTGAACAACAAAAAAATAAAAATAGAGACAATGAATTGTGAAGAGAATGAAGGAAAGAAATTTTTTTTTTGGAAAAAGGCACAGAAAGTGAAATTTAAAAACTAACAAAATGAGTGGAAGGGGGATTCTACCTGACTACTTAATTGAGACAAAAAAGAGAGAAAGAATTAACTTGATCAAAGCAAGAAAGAAAAAGGAACTAAGGAGCAAAACTTCAAAACCAGGGAAAGTTAGTTTTCTAGTCTTGTATTGAGGTACAAGAAGACACTTGTAATAGCACGGTAGTGACAGGAGATTTCAGTACCACTCTCAGATATATCTGGTAGATAAAAGAGAAATTATAGAACTGAACAAATCCTGCAGAACAAGAGCTAAAAGACTTCTGGTGGCTTTTATGTAAGACTGCTAAAGAATACACTTATTTCTCAGCATAACATTGAATGTTACAAAAATTTAGCGTTTATTTACAGAGAAATTGCAAACAAAGTAAGCGTGAAAGAGGAGATATTAAATAGAAAAGAAATAGATAAATTGGAAATTAAAAACCCTATAGAAATAATAAACTAAAAACTGGGCTCTTTGAAAAGACTTCTCAAGTGGTTAAATCTTTTAAGCAATATGATTAAAGAGATTATGACAAAAAAACAAATGAATAAAATAACAAATGAGCATAGTGAAGTTACAACAAAACCAAAAGAAATATAAAGAATAATCAGGTGCTAATATGCAGTTATATGCTAGCAACACTGAAAACACAAAAGAAATGGAGAAATATCTTCAAAAATATAAAATACAGAATAACAGAAGGCCAAATAGAGATCTTACTTCATTTTCAGGAAAGAAAATAGAGCTACCAAAAAAGAAATCTGGTCTTGATAGATTTATATTCTGTCAAACCTTTAAAAACAGTTAATACCCACGCTACACAAATATCCTCAAAAATTGAGGAAGCCCTGCGCCAGAATGATTTTATGAGACAATATAGTCCTAATACCTATACAAGGAAAAGATAAAACACAGGAGAACTATTGATCAATATCATTAATGAATATTTATCCAAATGTTTTAAATAAAACAACATCAAACAAACTGTAGTGATTTGTCCAAGAAATAATTTTGACTAAGCTGGGTTAAAAAATACTCTTTAAAAAAATGAAGAATAACTTAAATAGAGGAATATTCAGTGCTCATACCAATATAATAAAAATTATGATGTTACTAAAGTTAACTTATGGTTTTTAATGCTATTCCAAACAAATTATCAAAAGGATACTTTATAGAACTTGATAAAATAAGAACAGATTTCATTTGGAGAAATAAAATATCTAGAATATCAAGGGAAATAATAAAAAGAGGTAGGGACAAAGGGGAACAGCACTTCTGGATCTCAGACTTTATTGTAAGGGAGTAGTCATCAAAATTATCTACTATTGGTTAAAAAAAATAGAGAGGTAAATCTATGGAATAACCCTAGACAAAGAGAATCAGTAAAATACTGGGGAAACTGGAAAGTTGTCTGGCAGAAATTAAGGTTAGATTAATACTTTACACCATATTCTATGATATGTTGTAAGTAGTGTGTGGCTTTAGTATTAAAAAAAATCATGTTATAAAATCATTAGAAGAGAAGCATACCATATACCTCTCACAGCTATGAGTAGGAGATGTATTTTTTTTTTAGGCAATTGGGGTTAAGTGACTTGCCCAGGGTCACACAGCTAGTAAGTGTCAAGTATTTGGTCTGAGGCTAGATTTGAACTCAGGTCCTCCTGACTTCAGGGCCGGTGCTCTATCCACTGTGCTACCTAGCTGCCCCTAGGAGATGTATTCTGAACCCAACAAGGAGTAGAGGCAATTATAAAAGATAATATAAATATCTTCAATATCTATGCATGAAAGTGAAAAGCTTCTAAACAAACAAAATTAATGAACCTTGGTTGGGAAGTTGTTGAATGGGGAAGAAAATCTTTGTATAAAATTTCTCTGATAAGGATTTGGGTGTATCCAAGACATACATATAATTAACAGAATTGTCATCATCATATTAGTGATTTGGAACATTATTTCATATGGTTGTTAATAGTTTGCAGGTGATTGATTAGAATTATGCAAATGAAATAACTAAAATGTCCATATCCTTTGACCCAGATATTCTGTTACTAGGCACATACCCTAAAGAGATCATTGATAAGAAGGTCCCCATATACACCCAAATATTTTTAGCAGTATTTTTTGTGATAGCAAAGTATCGACATCTACTTTGTTTCCAATCTTTTGGGAAATAGCTAAACAAATTGTGGTACATGAATGAAATGGAGTATTAACTATGTTGTAAGAAATCATGAGATGAGTATAGAGAAGCCGGAAAAGCTACACGTGAATTGTTGCAGAGTAAAGTAAGTAGAGCTAAGAAAATCCTCTACATAATGACAAGGAAAAGAATAACCCCCCCAAAATATCAAAAGTTAATGTTACAAAATTATTTTTTGCCTTTTTTTTCTTTCAAGTGAGCAATCGGGGTAAAGTGACTTGCCCAGGGTCACACAGCTAGTAAGTGTCAAGTGTCTGAGGCCAGATTTGAACTCAGGTCCTCCAGACTCCAAGGCCGGAGCTCTATCCAATGTGCCAATTAGCTGCCCCTGTTTTTTTTTTTAATTTTTTTTTTTGGTTACAAAATTATAAAAACCAAACATGACTCAAAAAGATATGAGACAACATCTACCCTCATCCCTTGGAAGAGGTGGGAGGACACACCGATATTGTACATTGTACATATTTTCAGACTTTTTCCTTGTATTGATCAGTTATACTGATTTTTTTTCCTCTTTGTTTACATTCTTCCTTTTTGTCTGTTAAAAATATTACTTGTTACAAGAAATGGCTCTCTGAGAGAAGGGAGAGGAGAAAGACAGTGGGAAATTGTGGTGATGTATAGAAAACAAAAGACATTAATAAAAAGCTATTTTACAAAATAAAGAAAAGGGAATAGGGTTAATGTATTATGCTTATCCATTTCCCATTTTTCTGCATCTTTGAGTTGAATTGGAGCTTTTCTAACTAACTACATGTAGTGTTGTCTTTTCTTCTTTCTTCTTTTTTCTAATTTGGTATTGATTGTTAACTGTACAGAGAAAACTTAATTCTGAATTGACATATCTGTAAGCAGTCATTTCTTACCTCTTATTTTAGAAAGTCATTTTTGTTTTCAAAAATTTTTAGAGTACTTGGCATGTTCAGCATTCTCCTTGAAGGAAGTATTCATGATATATAGGCATGAAGTTTTTGAGTGCTTCCAGGATAAGCCTTTGAACCTTTCATTTCTTAATCCCTAAGCATTTTTTTTTTCCAGCATACTTTCTATTTTCTCCTTTGTTAGCCCCCTTTTGTATATCATCTTTCCCCTTTAGATTTTAAGTTCCTGGAGGGCAAGGATTGTGTTTCTTACTTGTTTCCCTAGTGCTTTATACAGTGCTTGGCACATAGTAAGTACTTAATAAATGTTTATTGAGTTAAATTGAATTATCTACATTCAGACTGACACCACCAAACAGCAAGGCCTGTGTTGATTTAGTTGTAGGATTTTATTATATTTTTCATAGAATTTCTCAGCATTATCCTTTATAGAAAATATTGATACATAAGCACTGGCCACTTGGAATGACTCTTACATCTTGATTGTACTTTTCATTCATGGTTCAGTTTAAATGCCATGTCCTTTATGAAATGGTCACTGACCATTCCTGTTCATTCACAGTGATCTTTTTTTGTCCCAGTAGCATGTATTGTGTGTGCCATGTATTTGGTACTTATTGCCTTAATTTTAATTTTTTCTCATGTATTTCCATGTGCCTTTTTCACAAAGTATTTAGTGTTTCTTGATCATAATGGTGGTACTGGTGCTTGCCTAGCCTGTGTTTCCTACTCTCTGACTTGGTAATTAGTTATAGTTCAGTTTCACACTGCTCCTTTAAGGGCTTTGAAGTGGTAGGGTCAACAACTTGAGGGTATCAGCTACAAAGAAGTGAGGAAAGGTTTGAGGAATTATGAAGATCTTAAAATTGATAAAATGGAATTCTCTAGACTACAGTATCACATTCTGAGCTGGAAAGGGCTTTTGGGGTCTACCACTCCCCCCCTCCCTGAATTTTACAAATGAAGAAACAAACTTTACTTTTCTATGGTCTCACAGGTAGTATGTGATAGTCAGAATTTGAACCTAGGTCCTTTGACTCCAAGTTTGACACTCCTTCCACAGTACCAAACTACCTCTTTTCAAATGAAGGGAGAGGAGGGGGTAGAGGTCTGTATATCAAGTTGTACTCAAGTTCCTCTCCATTTCTGGTGTTTGAAATTTAGCTATTTGAAAGGTGCTATCATATGTGATTAGAGTAGATAATTTGTACTGGACTGACAACCATCAGTAGCACCATTTACTAGGTAAAAAATACCTAAAATAAAAATTAGAGATTTTCTTAATGTTGTCAGAAGATAACACAATTTTTTTGAACAAGTCACAAAACAAATACTTAGACATGGACTTCAGATTTAACCATCTTTTAACCAATACTAGCTACCCTGTCTGAAACATGGCTAACAATTTTTGGAGTACATCTGGAAGTTGTTTATGAAAAGAATGAAGGAAAATTTCTAATACTAGGGACCTTTAGTAAAACCATAGATGATTTTTCTTAAATTTTAAAATGTCATTTCTCCCTGTTTTAATTATGTGTAAGTTGAAATATTGTTTAGGTAGAACAGGATAAACCTGCTGTAGTCAAATTTCTCTCATTTGCATAATTATTTCTTAAAATATCTAGAGTTAATGTGAAGTACCATTACAGGGTTATTCCAGCATTTTTACTTGGCATTAAAATTTTTCCAGCTACTGCTTTTTCATTTTTCTGTTTTACAGCCCCTTTCATTTTTATCTTTTTCTAAGGATTTTAGTATGTGACAAAGTAAAGTTTTAAGTTTAAAAAAAAAGGAAAAAATCAAAATTTTCTCCTGTTTATTTATACTCAATGAGTCAACAAATTTTTGTTGAGCAACATATAGTAGATGTTTAAAGGAATATACATTTACACAAAAGAAAAGTTAAATTGAGTTGATTATTTTTATACAGAGAATTACACCTATTGAATTAGATACCACTTTTATTAGATTATGTTAACGTAGTACAACCTTAGAAGAACCTGTAATCTTAGTTTAAAAAATTGTTCTTTGGGGGAAAAAAGTACTTTTAGTAAGATTGAGAAAAACTTTTAATTTTCAAATTTCTCTCCACCTTTTGAGGCCTCCAGTTTTTAAAAGATAATTTTATTTTCTATCCGTTTAAGGATTTTAATGAACATTTTTGTAAAAGTTTTTAATATTATTTTCATACTTGTGCATTTGTGGCTATTTTTACTAATTCATATAAAAGAAATACATTAATGAGCTTAAATTTGATTTTTGAGTAATTCATTAAGAATTTTCTGTATTTAAATTTTGTGGTGATAATGGAAAAGGATTTTAAAGAATTTTAAGTTCACATATTTTTAATCATATATATATTCTGTATGGATACCTTCTCTTAAACCAACTTGTCTAAAGATAATAAGACTAGTGAAAATTCTTTAGTTCTTTCCTGCCTCTTACTGAGCTTCTATTGTATTAGTTGCTTGAATAATACACAGGATTATATGTCATAACTAAGATAAAGTTGTTATATCAAGTGTTTACATGTTAAGGCTGAGCAGAAAAGAATTAAACTTATAAAAGGATCAGTCTTATGGAATTTGCTACCTTTGGTGTTCTAGTCCTCTTTCAGTATTCTTGGGTAAAAGGATGGGACACAAGACCTTCCAAAGTATTTTAAACTTTGAATTCTTTCTTATTGGTATTAGTTACTGATTTAGAAAGGGTCATGTGAATTTTAATTGTCTTTGACACTGAATATCCAGCTAAATTTGATTTTTATTCCTTAAAAAAAAATCCACTCACCTCTGTTTGAGTAAAGCTTCAAAGAGGAAAAAAAAAATCTGTTGCTCAAGAATTTTGACACGTTTAGAATTATCTCTGAACCATGCCTTTGAGTCTACATTAAAAAGAATGATAAGAATTGAATCTATAGGTCAGGAAAGAAAACAGTCTCATTGAGGTATTGTTTATGTTCCTAGAAGTAGCTGAGGATTTTAGTTGTGAAAACAAACAGCTTTCTGGGACACAGCCAAACTGTTCTTTCCCCCTGAGGGACTGGATAAAGTAAGTACTTGAATTGAAATCTGCTTTATAGAAACTACATGACTGTCTGATTGAAATGCATAGTCCCAGAGATTACATCAATGTGGAAGTGGTTGTTCTGGCTATAAACAGAGTTTTAGTGAAGACAACTTACTGGAAAAATATTTGAGTGGAATTTATGAAACTGCACAACAGGAATTTCACGTCTTATGCCTTTCTTATACTAATCAGAGTTGGACAGTGCTCCAATCTATACCTGAACATGATCCCATGTACAACATGCCTGAAAAGTGACCATTCGTCCTTTGCTTGAAGCACTTTTATGTGCAGAAACCCACTACTTCCCAAGGTGGCCATTTCCATTTCTGTATAGCTCCCATTGCTAAGAAGTTTTCTCATTCATCCAGCTACTATCATCTTCTACTCTTAATTTCTCCCTATTTCTTGTTGTTCTGTCATCTGGAGCCACACAAGACAAGTCTCAGAAACTTGAAGGCTTTTATCACGTTCATCCTAAGTCTTCTCTTTTCTAGGCCAAACATCTCCATCCTCATCACCATCATCTGATCTTCCTGTGGCATGATTTTAAGGTCCTTCACAATCCTGTTTATCTTTCTTTGGATGCTTTCCAGCTTACCAGTGTCATTCCAAAATATGTTTCCTTAAATTTGGTGTTTATATAGCATCATTTCTTGAACTGAAAAACGTGGATTTTTTTCAGTCATGGGTTATCATGAAATAGGGAAACCACAAAGAAAAGAGTTTGGGGCAAAGAAGTTAGATTTGGAGCTTTTGAGGTCACCTGTACATAGACAAAATTTACTTATGTAACAACACTAACAAATGGGCATTAATGATTAAGAATTTGTCATGTAGGATCCTAGTGATGAACCTCCTTTGCAGTGTAGTGTATTGGATAGAGTTCCAGGCCCGGAATCAGGAAGACCTGAGTTCAGATTTGGCCTTGGACACTTGCTGTCACCCTGGGTAAGTCACTAAACCTGGTTTGCCTTGGTTTCCTCATCTGTAGATGGAAATAGCAAACCACTAGTATCTTTGCCAAGAAAACCCCAAATAGGGTCATGAAGAGTCAGACATGACTGAAAATGACTAACCAACAACAGCAAGAACCATTTCTTGTCACTGGCATAGCTTTAAAGAGCCCGGGGTCACCTCCGTGCCACAGTGAGGCAACAGAGTAGAACCTGTGTGGGGAAATGCTTTAGTTCTACTCAAAAATCAAATTAGATGTAAGGAAAAAATTGGGTGTTAGGCAAAGACTAAGAGATTTCCAAATGTAATTGAGAGTTAACTTTATCAGGTTGCTTCATTAGAGTAATAAATGGTTAAGGCTGGTAAAGTCTTTAGTATTTGCTATTTAAAAATCTCAAAGGTTTAATTTCATCTTAATGAGTTTTCCTCAAAGACACACAGTGTAATGTATTCCTAATTTATCAATCATATAAGTGACATTATAGTAGATAAGGGCCTGAATGTTTAGAATTTCACTGTAGAAGTTCTCTTCCAATTAGATATCTTCATTTGCCTCTTGCAGTCATAGAAGAAGTAGAAACAATAGAAGACTGAGTTACAAGTTAGGCTGGCAGTTTCTCACACCCTTCCTCTGCTTTACCCTCCACCCTCCACTTCTAATAGTCACTATTCAGTAAGGTAGTAGTCAGCAAGATAGTATTTTTTTTTTTTTTTTGGCTAGGCGGTGAGGTTAAGTGACTTACCCAGAGTCACACAGCTAGTTAGTGTCAAGTGTTTGAAGTTAGATTTGAACTCAGGTCCTTCTTACTCAGGGCCAGTGTTCTATCCACTGTGCAACCTAGCCCTTTCCTAAATTCAACTTTCTTCATCCTTAGAAAAAGAGGGGGCAGTTTTCTGATTTAGAAAATGGTACCAATAAAAGAATTAGGGATCATTTCCATTTAGAAATAGGGATACCTTTATTTGAAATAGGTTTTATATGGAGTTAATGGGAATTAATAGAGAAGCTTTTATGTCCTAAGTACTTGATTGAAAATTTTCAGTTTTGCTCTTTAGACAATTTTGATCGAAATCATTCCAAACTTGAAGGAAAATTGTTGCCATATAACACAGTGGAAAAAATTATGTGATCTTATAACCAAATAATGTAGTAATCATGTTGAGGTCTTTGGATGTTAAAATTTCCTTAATGTGATTTCCAGATGTCTGTATCCTTTGTACTTCTAATGTACAATTTACTTTTTTCCCTTTTTTCCCATTTAACTTTAAGGTTTCTGCAGTTTGCCGGTTTGAACTATAGAAGCTGATGGAACTTGAATATAAAATACTTGATTTGGTTTTGCTGAAGAAAGATACTACACTATCCAGTAAGAAACCATGATAAATATTTAGATTACATCTTAAGTGAGATAATAAGGAAAATAGTTTTTAAAAGATTAACTCTAAAAACTGTTATTAGTCATAGTTGGGGAATCAGATATCTTAGGTTATTGAGTATTCTAAGTTATTAATAGAGTTATATGAACTATACAAGGGTTACTAATTTTCAAAGAACAAGAATATACTAAAAGGCACTTAGTAAAAGTCTACTGATATAATTTAATATTTAATTAATTAAAATACATCTTAGGATCTTCTAGTATATTGGTGTTAGATAAAAATGGGGGCCACTAAACATATATAATGATTCCTGTGGGTTGCATATTGACTTAGAAAACCACATATTAACATTATGCTCTGTTGTACTTTTATTTATTTTGTTAAATATTTTCCAATTACATTTTAATTTGGTTTTGGCTATACTCAGGACTGTTGCAGGCCAAATATTTGCCCCTCTGTTCTAGTATCTTGGAGTTATCATTATGAATACCAGTTATAATCATGATGTAGAGAATTGGAAATGTTAATTATTAAAATTTGTTAAAATGCCAAATGATAGTTTGCTATTTTTGTGAAGTACATTTGATTGCCTAATTTCCTCTTTACTTAATAAATATTTGCTCCTACTGCTGATTGTTATGTTTAATGGTTTCAAAATATTGTATTTTGAAACTAAATTTTTTATTTTAATTTTTGTTACAGGCAAATCATTACCCATATAATGGATTTTATCTGACTTGCTAAATCATATTGCATTCTCTTTCTTGGACTTTGTGGTAACAGACAGTACAGGAAATGTTCTTTTAATCTTACTGCATCTACAAACAATAATTACTAATGCATAAAGATAATTTTTTGAGCTACAGTAGAACTAACATTTGCATCCTTTATAAGAATCCTGGTTTTATTCATCTGAAAGATTTTAATGATAATGTTTCTCTAAAGTATGAACAAGAAAAGAACTTGTAGCATTGAGAAACTGTCTATTGATAAGAATGCCCAGAAGAGGTTTAATGCTTCAAGCCAGGACCCGTTGGCTACTCTTGGGTCTTGCGCTGCTATGTATTTTGATATTATTTATGTACCTTCTTGAGTGTGCTCCACAGACTGATGGCAATGCCTCTCTTCCTGGCATCATTGGAGAGAATTATGGTAAAGAGTACTACCAGGCTCTCCTACAAGAACAAGAAGAGCATTATCAAACTAGGGCATCTAGCCTGAAACGTCAGATTGCCCAACTCAAGCAAGAATTACAGGAGATGAGTGAGAAAATGAGATCACTGCAAGAAAAAAAGAACACTAGAGCAAATGGTATGGGTTATCAAGGCACCAAAGAACAAATACCTAGTGATCTTTTGGAGTTTCTTCATTCTCAAATTGACAAAGCTGAGGTAGGCATAGGAGCTAAACTACCTAGTGAATATGGTGTCATCCCCTTCGAAAGTTTTACCTTAATGAAAGTCTTCCAATTGGAGATGGGTCTCACTCGACACCCAGAGGAAAAGCCTGTTAGAAAAGACAAGAGAGATGAGTTGGTAGAAGTTATTGAGGCTGGCCTGGAAGTTATTAATAATCCTGATGAAGAAGATGATCAAGAAGATGAAGATGGACCAGTTGGAGAAAAACAATTATTTAATGAAAACGATTTTGTAGAAGGTATTGTAAAAATTTATTTGGTTTGTAATCAGTTTGGTTTTTTATCTGTAATGTTCAAGTAATAATGTTTTATGTTGCTAATATAAATCATTAAGCAGTGACATAGCAGTGACATAGTTCTTTTGCATCAACAATGATACACTTAGATATTTCAAGTCATAAAAGTATATTAAGTAAGTAGAAGCTGATTTTTTTGTCAGTATGGGAAAATATATATTATGAATTCAGGAACCTTACTGAAAATTGAATATTACTTTGTATGGTTTTAAAAATATATATGAACTCTAGCATAAGGTAACAAGAGTCAAGAATGCCAGCATCTAAGCTTAGTTCTGAATTACAACATGGTCTTGGGAAAACTTTTAATCATTATCTGTTTTACAATGTGCACAATGGAAATGTCCATATATCTTTACATGGATTATTTAATATTTGCAAAAAGTTTTCAGATTTAATAACATAAATTATGTAACTTCCTTTTTTCCCCAATGGCCAAATACAGAATAACATTTTTATGCATCAAGTAATCTTGACACACTGTATTTTTTGTAATAAAATTATTAGCTCTCAATTCAATATTTTAAATTTTTTTTAATGTTACAATGCAGTAATACAATACTTAAAGTTAGAGGCAGCAAGAATGAAGCCAAAAAGAGCACTATACTGAGAATCAGACCTGGATTTGTTTTCCAACAGTGTCACTAATTTTTGACTTTAAGGAAGTCACTTATTTTGTTTTTTCATTTATAAACTGAGGAGGTTGAATTGAATGATCTCTTAAGAATTCTTTAAGCTCTGACATTTTGGGATTTATAATGGTAGTCATGACTTTCAGGATAAGTCTCTGATGACAAAGACTACATCTGCCGTGGTACTTAGCACTTTTTTTTTCCATGTAATACATTCAGTAAACATTCGGTCAAAATTCATCTTCATCTGAGAGACAATGTGGACTGAGATGAGGAGTTGATTTCTAGTACGAGCTCTATCATTAGTGAGGTGGGAGATGTTGAGTCAATCATTTTACCTCTCTGGGTCTTAGTTTCCTTTTCTATAAAATAGAGATTTTTAACTGCTTTTGTTTCTGGGCACTTTGGCAGTCAGGCAAAGACTGTGGGTCCCTTCACAGAAAACTTTTTGTTGCCTCCATTTATAATTGAATGAAATGCTAAATTTCAGTTAGAGATGAGTAAAAGTTCTTTTCCCATTGCAATTCAAGGATCTCCCTGAAGTCTAGGGTCCATGGGACCCACATTAAAGGCCCCTCCTGTAAAATGAAGGGGCTGGAATAATCCCTTGGTCATTTTCTAAATGTAAGATTCTGTGACAGAGTAGCAATACACATTGCTCTCTGGTTGTTGTGTTTTGTGTTCTGCTGGGAAACTCCTCAGACCAGAATTTAGGAGCTGTAGATTTGAATCCCAGCTCTGCCTTGTGATGTGACCTGGAGCAAGAGTGGCTCCCAGTCTGGAATGCTGAGTCAGCAGTCCTCTGAGTTTTGACTTTCTTCTCTTTAGCTGGACTCAGAGAACTTGATTTCTAAGACTTCTAGCTTCAGAGGTCTATGAACTTAGAGAAGGAGGTTATAGGATCTTTAAATTTCAGAGTTGGAAGCAACGTTAGAGATGTAGCTCCCTTGTTTTCCAGATGAAGAAACTAAAGGCCAAGAAGTTAAATGACTTGCTGCGAGAAGTCACATGGGTAGTAAAGAGGTAGCTATCTGTTTGGTATTGGAGTGAGTGAATTATCCACCTCACTGTAAGTAATTCATAAAATTTTTAAAACCAATTCTTCTAGACATCCTTTTAATATATGCTTCATAAATTTAGAACTCGAACAAGCTTGATGGTTATCTTGTCCAAATGAAACCTAGAGGTATAAAAATGAGTTGCCCTGGCAGCATTTGAACCCATATCCCTTGACTAAAAATTTAGTACTTTTTTTTCCAATGTATACACTCTATTAGAAAACAGGTCTACTGACTCCCAGTCCAGTGTTCTTCCTTAATAAGCAATATACTCAATAACAGTTTACAGGGATGCAGAACCTGCAGACTCAAGGCCACATGTGTCCCTCTAGGGGCCTTGAGTATGGCCCTTTGACTGAATCCAAATTTCATATAACAAATCCTCTTAATAAAAAGGATTTGTTCTGTAAAACCTGAGCTCAGTCAACAGGGCATACCCAAGGACCTAGAAGGTCACATGTGGCCTTGAGGCTGCAAGTTCCCCACCCCTGAACATTTTTGTGATGATCCAGGGTGATTATTATGAACATTGTTTATTATATTTTACTGTATGCCCATAGACGTTATTACATAGAGCCATCTGTCCCCTTCATTAAATGTCCCTGGACTAAACAGTGTCCTGATTAACGTTTTAATCATCTCTTCCTGGTGTAGTGGAAAGAGCACTGACCTTGTTATAGGCCCTGAGTTTGAATCCTGCCTTTGCCACTTATTGAATGGCATTGAGCAAGTCACTTAACTTTGATAGCCCTGCTTACCCATTATCAAATGAGGAAAAGAGTTGAACTAAATGACTTCACCTGTTTACTGGTGTTTTTTTATCGTGTCTCTCAGTGAGTTCTTTCTTTCTCCCTTTCTCATTTGCTATCTATAGCTTCAGCTATTTGCCTGACTCCTTTTGTGGTCCTGGAATCCTTACCTAAGGCAGAGAAGGTTATCAGTGCAATTCAAATAACTGACTATGGTACATAAAATTAAGTCAGATCTGTTCTGTTTGAGAAAGGAAGGGACTTTCTCATCTGAAATAAAGTGATAGCTTGGGTTCTGGCTTTGTTGAAACACTTTTTTCAGTGGGGTAGGGGGCAGATGACAAGGGGTTAGGCATGCTGGTCCTTGGAGACTATCACAGCTTCTAGACTGAAATCATCAAACTTTCAATACCCAAATAAGTGGTGTAACTAACTAAACAAAATTCTGGTTTTTTCCAGTGTTTCTGACCCCTCTCCCTTTGTTTTTATGGAAGGTCATTAAAAGCAGGAGCTGTATCTACCTTATTTTCCTTCGTATATTCCCTGCTGCCTGTCTTAGCACATTACAGTACAAAACTATATGTAAATAATTGTATTTAAAGAGAAAAGATAATCTTACTTTTTGAAAATTTTCAAAATATTCCCCTAGGAAAAGTTATTAAAGAAATAAATGGTTCAAAATGTTGATGGCTTTACCTGTTTTTCTTCCCTTACTTGAGTTCAAATGGAGAAGCCATTTCTGGTGTGTTTTGAGAAATTTAATAAAGGCCTACTGTTTAAATTCCATAGTTCATTCCAAGATTTCATCATGAAAGGAAATCTTGAAAATTTTACCTGGTTCTTCAAAATAATTTCAGGGAGAAACATTGCTATTAAAAAAAAGTAGGGGCAGGGCAGCTAGGTGGCGAAGTGGATAGATCTCCAGCCTCGAAGTCAAGAGGATCTGAGTTCAAATGTGACCTCAGACCTCAGATGCTTAGTATGTGTGTGACCCCGGGCAAGTCACGTAACCCCATTACCTAGCCAGAAAAAAAAATAGGGGTGGTGCTCTAAATTTTATATGGAGGACACACTAGGTATCTTGGCAACAAAGTATTCAGCTTCTAAAACTTTTATTACCTAGTGCCTGTCTTTTGATTTTTCTTCGGTATAGATTTCTTCATGGTGATTGGATATGGCTTTTTGAGTAAATGCTTAATTAAATAGCCTTGCAGATTGTTTCCAGAAAATCTACCAGCCCTCATTATTCTAATCAGTTTCAGCAACACTTAGCTGTGTGCCAGGGATCCTATCTCTGAGGGTGATGAATATCAGTATAAAGTAACAGTACTCAGTTTCAGGCATGTTACATTTTTAATGAAAATTCTTGATGTTGTAGTCTTCGCACTCTATCCCCTCAGCCTCCCACATTTTCACTTTTTCTAATAAGGCAGCTGTATAGTCTTCA